TGCATATAACCAATATTATCCATGAACCTGCTTAGTGTACTTTTAGTATGAGCTAAATCTAATCTAATACACACCATAGTTTACATTATAAAGCCCACAACAGTAGCTTAGGGGACTATCTTCGTGTATCAAACATCTAATTCATTTATAGGACGTTGTTCCTCACATAAATTGAAATGATTAGCTAGAGGTAAAGTAACAGATTTTGAATCGCAGAGAAAATTTTGATATCACATTCTCAATAAATGTAGTATTTTTCAAAAGCAATACATGCTTTGACCTATTTCTTATAATGTGTCCATTCCTAAAATCCTTCTATCATACCTTACTTCATTCATTTCAAATTCAATGCCAAGTGATTTCTTTATTTGGTTTATACCATGCATGATAAGTCCGATTGATATCATGTCATGTACATATAGCAGGAATAAAAAATCACACAATCTTTTCCATCTTTCTTATATAAGCACTAATAGCACTTCTATTAAGACCAGCAGCAGAAGCAAATGTATCAAATCAGTTGTACCTGTCTATTCTAGGTGATTCTTTAAAATCATATAAAGATTTTTTCACACATAATCAAATTTAGCTTTATTTATGAAACCATGGGATTGTGTCATATAAATTTTTCCATCTAAAACCCTATGCAAAAAGGTAGTTTTTACATTCATTTGTTCAAGTTCTAGTCATGATTAGCAACTAAAACTAACATAAATCTTGTTTTAGTATATTTCACAACAAATGAGAAGACTTCATTATAATCAATGCTTTGTTTCTAAGTGAAATTGATGTAGGATGCGGCAGCGTATAGAAATAATAAGTGAACACAGTATCTAAGTTCTGTTGATTCCAAATAAATATCACAATACGATCACCTATTAGTTTATGTTAATTATTAAGAATACCTAAACATAAAAAAATCCTTTGATTCGCACTCAAATACAAAAAAATTAGACTCATTGATTTAAAATATCAAATATTGAGAATTTAAGAGATTGAGAAACTCCAATATTTATTTTATTTCAATTCAAAATCACTAATTGCTATTAAAGCTTACAACCTTTATTTAAAGCAATAACTACAATTTAGATAAAGACCAAATTTAGATACAAACTGAAATTAATGATGAAGACTCAATCTTTATCTAGACTAAATTTAGATAAAGATTAAAATTAAAGATAATGAATAAAATTAATGATGAATGCTCAATCTTCGTCAAAAACCTTTAACAATTAATCTAGCTTTAAACCTTGGCGGTTCTTTATCGAAATTCCCTTCTTTAACAGTATAAATTCATTTACAATCTATTAAGAATTTATCTTTCGGCTCTAGAACGACGTTCCAAGTTTTATTTTTAATTAGAGATTCCATTTCTTCCACCATGAAAGTGTTGGAAAATTCGAAATTGGTTGTGACCAATTTAAGTGATTGTTTAAGTAAATTTTTTGTTTGGTAAATGAGAAATTAAACCAAACTTAAAATGTTTAAATATTTGAAATTGTTGGAAATTGTATAGAATATTGTGGAATATTCTAGAAAATGAGTAGATGAAAAAATGAGTCTTTTCATATGGAAGATCATGACTTTTGGTGTGAGTAACTTCCAATAATTATGATTCTTAATTTCAACAGATGTGTCTCTTGGTGTGATTTCTAACTACTATATATATAGATCCACATGTGTTTGGATTAAAAACAAGAAAGATGAACAATTCAATTGATAGTTCCATATTATTCCATTCCATATTTTACTTTAGTTCTGCATAAATCACTTTGTAGAAGTGATTATTTCTTGTATCAAAATCATGGTTATGGTAGAGAGGGAACTCCGTTCGAGTTCGTTGGTCTAAGCCATTTGGAGTGCTCCTATGGCTTGACGTGGTCGTTGTATCTTGAGAGATGATTGCCGAGAAATCGTTAGCACCGATGCTTGGCAAATTCTTCTTAAGGACAAAGTGTCAAACACTTGCCTCGACCGATCGTATCACTTGCATCTCATTTTTCTTTTCCAATTTCATTCTAATTTAGTATTATGATTTCGAAAAGTAACTAATATTCTTTTGATTTCATGCAAGGTTTGAATTAAAGAATGACACGCGTTCAAGATTGGAAAGTGATGAATCCATATCCATATATTGGAAGTCGGGAATCACTATTTTGTCCTCACAAATCAGATTTCGATAAATCGAATGATATTTCGATTTCAAGCATATTAACGGCATGTTCTTGATAAATATAATATACACATTATCGGTGTAAAATCTCCGACAACTATAATGGGGATTTGCACTATGTTAACCTTACTTTCTTTAGCCTTCTCGACCGGAAAATTTTGTGCCTTTCGAGCTTGTCTGTTCATGTCCATGGGGTTATTTGGCCTTATACCTGCAGTCCATGCTCTGGTTGTGAACTGGAACGATCCACATCGGAATATAACACTAGCCTATGAGTCGGTTATGGCGCTGTCATATCTGACAGAGACTTCATTTTACATTAGCCAGATTCCTGAGCGGTGGAAACCCGAGTGGTTCGACCTCGCCGGTCACAGCCATCAAATATTCCATGTGTTTGTGATCATGGGGGCATTGGCACATTATGGTGCTGCACAAATTTTCTTCAGGTACAGCAGTATCTATGTTTTGTTCAATCAAATTTAAGTAGTTAGGCATCGATCTTGGTGTAACTTCACTTTCCTCTAAACTTGAAAGCTTAAATTTCTGTTTTGAAGCTTGATTATTGAAATGTAAAGTCAATGCTATTCATAATGAAAATTATTTCTAGTCGCTCTACGTAGTATACATGTGACAGTTTGCTATTTGATACATTAATGTGATAGTTTTTAATTATCTCATTCATCTAATAATAAGCTGTCACATATATATCACGTATGACGATTACTAATACTCTTCATTATACTCAAAGTTAAAATATAGGTTGTGTGTAATTTTTCCTTCTATTATTTTGAAGAAATAAAATTGAAGAAATTATTATGGGCTTAGGCCCAAAAATTATAAGGGCCCTTAAAATTAAAATTAAGGGGCTTTGAAAAATCAGCATTTTGGAAATAAAAAATATTGTTTAAAATTAATTATCACTATCACTTTTTATTAAAAAGTGATGTTTGTCCCTCTAAAAAAAATGTCAGAAATTTCGAGAAAGTGATAGAAAAAAGTAAAAAATACTGTGTAAAATTAAGCAATACGATGTTACTTTTTTTTATTAAAAAATGATGGCGCAATATCATTTTTTTAATAAAAAAATGACAGAAAATGTTACATTTAAAAAAAAAGTTATATTTGTTACTCAAAAAGTAACAATTTTTTTAAAAAAGTGAAATGCTAAAAAAGTGAGAGAATAAAAAGTTATAAACACTCAAAAAAGTAATAAAACACAAATTAAACATTGGAATATGTTTAATAAAAATGACATATAAATAACTAAAAAAGTGACAACTACCGTCCCTCTTTCTTCGTTCAGTGCCAAGCATCTTCGAGTCAATTCACCACCACCGTCATCTACCAACTCAACCAATCCATTGGCATTCACTTCTTATTCGAATTCGATGCTTAATCAAGAAAGAATGAAATTTAGTACTATAAACAAGTTGTTTAAATGATTTTTTTCTGTGACATTAAATAAGGAAAGAAGCAATTTAATTAAGTGACATAAGTTATAAAAAAGTTAAATTTAAAAAAGTGACAAACATCAAACAAGCCGTAAGAATATATTTTAGAGCGGTTGATTTTCTTTTAAATGTTATCTCTTTGCGATTATGATTCACTTATATGAACAATTGGGTGTTTGATGGGGATTAAAATTAGATTTTTAGTAGATTGTGATAAAAAAAATTTAAAATGCGTGGTTGAAAAGCAGTGGGACCCATGAAAGATGTGATTAATATTGATTGTTTGACTTTGAGTTATAGTAAAATCTGATTTTAATCCGAAACAAACAGGGCCTAAATATATAATTTAACATTGTTTTAGTAACATGCAACCTATAAATTTGAATGTGACATAAATTCAAAAAAGTGACAAACATTCATTTCATTTCGTTATGTCACTGATGATTCTACCTAGCTTCGGACCGTTGCTTTTCTAGAAGTCTCGTATTCAAAAATGGCAGAGATAGAGAATCCTCAAAAGCCCCATGGCCCATGCCATCATGGTCTCGTTCCATCTACTAAGCCACATAATCTCCTTTGTCAATCTAGCAATTAAACTCGCTTCAAAGGACATGACAATCCCTTTTTTTCACCACTAATTCATTCGTCATCGAATCAGCAGATCTCAATACAATTCCACTCAAGTCAACATTTTCAGTAAAGCAAGAGATTCTGGGATTGACATCCATTACACAATAATTAGCGATGGTTTCCTAGTTGAATTCGATCGGTCTAGGAACTTAGACCAGTACTCAAAATCCTTTTTGCTTGATTTCCAAAATCTAGTAGATGAATTTGTTGAAAAAATACTCCATTCTCATTCATCATCTTCTTATGACTACTTCTTAATTGTTGGTACTATATGTGTTTGGCTTGAGAAAATTGCTTGAAAGTATAATATGGTGAATGTTTCATTCTAAATTGAACCATCACTTGTATTCTCCTTCTATTATCATTTAGATCTTCGGTGAAAAACGGCTATGTACCAGCAAATGGTTTACAGAAAAACATAAATTAAACACTAGAAATTCAATCCATTGATACAAAAGATTCTATTTGATCTTCTGGAATCCGAGTCAACAATTACATTGAAATGAGAAAATATCCATCTTACATTACTGTTTGAAATTATTGCAGCTGGATTATAGTATTGGAAAAATCGTTCTTGATCCCTAAATGAGCTACAGAATCTACAAATCTCTTATACAACTAGGGAGTCCACAGAAGCCGTGGCCACCTTAACATCCGATCCGGCTCGTCCATTAGTATATTCTACAGTATCATCGGTGGTGGCGCTGTGATGGTCACCGCACTTCTCCTATTAGAAGCCAGCAATGAACGTGACTGGATTTCATAGTCATTTTCCATAGATCTAGGACGATCTTTATTATTCTAGAGGGAAGAGGAGAGATGAATATAGAAAAGAGTTATATTTAGAGTGCATAGTCTAATTTCCTCAAATTGTAAGTGCATAGTCACCAGCACAATTTTTAATTTTAAAGAGGAAATTCTACACAAATGAAATTCTGTATTTTTTTTTTATTATTTTCACAATGTTTGAAAGTCCAAGGTGAAAAGAGAATTTTATTTTTCACAAAAAGATTGACGAAGAAGCAGTCGTAGAAACTAGGGAAAATTGCAGTCATGATACCAAATCTTTCACTTTTATGTAGACTTGACCTAGACCTTTAATTTTTAGCACTCACAGTACCAAATCTCTCAAAAATTCCGATCTAAAGTCCAAATTAACAGAAACTGTTAGTTAACAAAAATCAAATATCTAACCAAATGTTGACTACTTTTTAAACGGTGAAGGGTAAATTTATTTTTTCATATAAAGAACTAAAATAAAAGAATTAATTCAAAAACAAAAAAATAACCACTATTCACCTACTCCACCCACCCACCCACCCACCCACCCCAAAAACAAAACCACCAAAACATCGTCGTCACCTGCTGTCGCCGCCATCACCCATCGGCGTCGTCGACAACCACTCATTATAACTGTTTCAACAACCTCTTCAAGTTAACAAACAAATACTGAGTCATCAGAACTAGCTTAGAAAAAACTCCGCCTATCCAAATCTCAAAATCGGGGTCGTCAGAACCATCGCCAATGCCACCAAAAGCTCAACCTCTATTTATGAAATATCTTCACATCACTAGCAACATGGATCGCGTAAGAGTTTACTGCCTCTGAACTAGCAAAAATGGTAATCAATACATGCTCCTTTACATTGAAAGGGCCTGGATTCAAACTAAATTTCCAATTCTGCCCCTTGAAGAACACTCTTCGTGTAATTGTCGCTGCCATGGGTAGAGATTGCAGTGATCGAAACAACTTATAGTTGTACCAAAAGAATTGGTTGAGGAATGAGAAAAGAGTACAAGCCATGACCCCTAGTGTCCACATCCGAAAGGTGACAACGAGTATGGTCGAGTTGTCGTTAACAGACACCGTAAGGGATACTTTCTCGATCAAAGAATTCTCTTGTTCCTCCTCTGACTATGACTCCCGACGAGGCAAGTGATTCAGACTTCAGAACTGGAGTGGAGAAGATCAAGTTTCTCCACGAGGAGAAGGAAGATAGGGAATAAAAAAATGTTGGGTGATGGGAATAAGGTAGCGGTGGAGAAGATGGCAGCGATAGTGATGGTTTTGGGGTGGGTATGTGTGAGGTGGATGGAGTAGAAGAAGTTTGTTTTTTATTTTTATTTTTAATTATTTGATTTTAGTTATTTTATTATAAAAATGTAAAATTACCATTTTAACCTTTTAAAATTAGTTAAAATTATTGTCAATTTCAATTATTTGGTCAACTTACGATCAAACTAATAGAAACCATCAATTTGAACTTCAGCTGCGATATTTTGAAAGATTTGGTATCCTCGTGACACAAATGAAAATTTTGGATAAAGTCTGCTACCATATGAAATGTTTGTTACGGCTACTGTAATTATCTTTAGAAACTAATGAAAATATCTAGGGATGTCAACGAGCGAAGTCACAAGTTGAAATTTTTTGCTCGAGCTTTTTTTTGGCTCGAGCCGAGCAAAATATCGGCCAAAAAATTTAGGCTCGACCCTTAGCGAGCCAAGCCGACTCTTTTTTTCTTTTTTAAATTTATGACAAATCTATTTTTTTTAAAAAAAAATTAAAATTTGTGTAATTTATATGTTTTACAAATAATAACTAAATATTAACATATAAAAAAATTACAGCTAAAATTAAAAGAAAAAAATTTAAAAAATGAAGTGGCGGACAACTTTTTTTTTTTTAGGCTCACAGGTCGGGCAGGCTCGAGCAACGCCCCAAAACGGGGCTCGACCCGACCGAGTCACGAGCCAGCCTGAGCCCAAACTGCCAGAGTGCTATTTTGCTATCCCTGAAAATATCACGATTACACAGTGCTCTCCCTGTAAGTGTTATATTCTAGGTCCAATCAACTTTGGACATAAACACTTTATATATATATATATTTGATGCATATGTATGACAATATCTATGATTTAATTGAATTACCATTCTAATAAATTAAATAATAGAATTCGTAGATTCAAGTCTTGGTGATTTATTAATTACAAGGAGTTGTG